AAAAAAAAATCCTCTTTAAAAAAAAAACAAAAACAGGGGAGCTCTGGTGGCCTAGTGGCAAGGAGCTGCAACTACAATCCCAGAGGCACACGGTTTGAATCCACCAGATGCTCTGCCGGGGAAGAAGGGACAATCTCCTCCTGTACCAGTCAGATCTGATTTGATGGTACACTCACACACACACACACAAAAAAAAAATTAAAAAAAAACCCCAACATTGCTGAAGGTTTTGGATTCTCAAGCCTTCTTAAAGATAGACATACATTTAAAAAAAAATACAAACCAACAACAACAACAACAGGAGTGGCGTCGACTTCCTAAATAACATGCCTCCAGAAATTCTATGAACTTTGATTAAATGTCCACAGCACTAGAGGGGATTGAGGCCACTTGTTCACAGGGTTGCTATGAGTCGTGCTTGACTCAAAGGCCATCAATGAAAACAACAACATATTAATATTGGGGGAATATATTAATGAAAAAAGAAAAATTTCAAAATCACAAAAAAATAAAAAAGTGTCTTCTTGTAAAAGTTGAAAGATGAAATCCACTGAATGACGGCCAGGAGTAATCTAAAAACTCTGACTTCAGAGCACACTGACAATCCAAAGATTTCAGCAGCAGAGAGAGAAAGGACTCATGTCAGGGGTACTGTCCTCACCGACGGACAGCAGGTTTCTGTAATTCTCCAGCATCACGTCCCGGTACAGGACCTTCTGAGCGCAGTCCAGAAGCTCCCATTCTTCCCGCGTGAACTTCACAACCACGTCACTGAATGTCAGCGATTCCTGTAGGAATAAAAGGAATCTCTCTGATGGAGTATATTTTCCACTTTGGTTATGAATGAAATGAGAAGGAGGCTGTTGAGTTCCTTCCCTGCATGGAGGCTACTGAATCTATTAAACAACTTACGGTGGTATTAGATATCTTTGAGAAGACAAAAGATTATTTTTCTATTTGTATGATCAATAGTAATACAGCAATTTGTAAAAAAGAAGTTTCTTTTTTAAAAAAAAAAAAATTATTTTATTTTTTATTACTTTTTGGCGTGTACCGTCCAGGACTGCAGCCTTCAATATGGATTGAGGCTCAATGTCAAAAAGACAAAGATTCTCACCACTGGACGAATTGGCAGCATCAGGATAGATGGTGAAGAGATTGAGATTGTTCACAGCTTTAGTCTGATTGGCTCCACAATCAACACTCTTGGCACCAGCAGCCAGGAAATTAAAAGACCTACTGTGATGGGAAAGTCTGCTGTTAGGGACCTCTCCAACGTACTGAAGAGCAACCGTGTCTCTCTGGAGACTAAGGTGTGTCTGATACAAACCATCGTCTTTGCAATCACATATTATGCGTCAGAGAGTTAGACAACGACTAGGGAGGTTAGAAGGAGAACGGATGTCTTTGAGCTGTGGTGCTGGAGAAGAGAACTGAATGTACCATGGACTGCAAAGAAAACAAACAGATTCATCTTGGAGAGGGTTAAACCGGGCTGCTCCTTGGAGGAAAGTATTCTGAGGCTTCGTGTGACATACTCTGGTCATTTTGTAAGGAGAGACCAATCCTCGAAGAGGGATATCATGCTTGGGATGGTGGAGGGCAGGCACAGGAGGGGAAGGCCGTCTAGGAGATGGATTGATTCGGCGACTGGGGTAATCGGGCTGGGTGTGTTGGAGACAATGAGATTGGCACAGGACAGAAAAGAGTGCAGGGCTTTGTACATAGGGTCGCTATGAGTTGCAAGCGACTCAAAAGCACATACCAACAAAAACAACCGTCAAATCGGATCTGACTGGTACAGGAGGAGATTGCCCCTCCTTCGCCAGCACAGCATTTGGTGAATTTGAACTGTGTACCTCTGGGATTACACAAATGTAATTTTCTTAAATGCACAAAAGAAATGGTATTTTCATAAGCTAGAAAGTAAGTTTTCAAATTTATAAAGACAAAACAACAGTTCTGTATGTACACCCCACAAATACGCATTTATCTTTATTACCAGGGACATGACCTCCCATTAGTGTGAGAGACAAATAAGCAGAATAGTAGTTAACGGCAGTAGCTCTTAGGTCTCATTTCAAGGATTTGGGGATCTGTCTCGTCCCACAATTTTTTCCCACTTCTCACACAGCTAGCTGTCCCTTTCACAACACTCTGCTTTTGTCCGGTCACTAATCCATTGTGATGACCATAGAGACCGTCCTGAGATTTACAAATGGTTTAGTAAGGAACACAGTACATCTCGGATGTGACCACCATTCTGTCACTGGGCTCTTCAGGAACTGGTGCCGTCAATGCTCCTGGGACCCCTTCCAGGTCTGTTTTTGCTGTGGAACCCCCACATATCTCCTGGGGTTACAACTTAGAGGAGGATTCGTGCCTCCCTTCTCTCTTCTTGATTCTCCTTCTTCTCTCACGTCTCTTCAGTTTCATAGGCCTCTGTAGAGTTTGGTTGGTTATATGGACAAACTTCTCGTCAATTTGAGGACATGGAGATGAACCAAACTACTCCCACTGGGTCTGAAACATGGAATTTACAGGACAGGCCTTGCTGGCCTTCAATAATCAATAGGTATACAAGGAAGTCCAGTGAACACCACTATCAATATATGCATGTATATATTCAAATATATATTCTCTGTGCTTCATTGACTATGCAAACGGTTTTGACTGTGTGGATCACAACAAGCTATGGCTGACTCTGAGAAGAATGGGAATCCCAGACCACTTGATTGTGCTAATGCGAAACATATACTTGGACAAAGAGGCAGTCATCAGATCAGAGCAGGGAGACACTGGACGGTTCAAAATCAAGAAAGGGGTCTGTCAGGGATATATTTTGTTTCCGTACCTTTTCAATCTGTATGCAAAACAGATCATCCGAGAGGCTGGGCTGTATGAGGAGGAATGTGGCATCAGGATTAGTAGAAGAATCATGAACAAGCTGCGTTATGCAGATGACATAACCCTGCACAATGAAACTGAGGAGGACCTGAAGCACTTGCTGCAGAAGGTCAAGGACTGCAGTCTTCAATATGGATTGAAGCTCAATATCAAGAAAACAAAGATTCTCACCACTGGGCCAATTGGCAGCATCACTATGGATGGTGAAGAGAATGAGACAGTTAACAGTATTCATTTACTTGGCTCCACAGTTAGCACTCTCGGTAACAGCAGCCAGGAAATCAGGAGATGAAATGCATTGGGAAAGTCAACTGTGAGGGACCTCTCAAGAGTACTGAAGAGCAACGACGTCAGGCTAGAGACTACGGTGCACCTGCTCCAGGCTATAGTCTTTGAAATTAGGTGCTATGCATCGCAGAGTTGGAAAATGACTAGGGATGATAGAAAGAGAATTGATGCCTTTGAGCTGTGGTGCTGGAGAAGAGTGTTGACTATACTATGGACTGTTAGCAGAACAAACAGGTTTGTCCAGGAGAGGGTGAAGCCACAATGCTCCTTGGAGTCAAGGATTCTGAAGCTTCATCTGACATACTCTGGGCATGTTGCAAAGACGGACTGGTCCTTGGAGAGGGACATCAAGTTTGGAAGAGTGGAGGGACAGCACAGGAGAGGAAGACTCAAGATGAGATGGTTTGATTCTGTGACTGAAGTGGTGGGAATGAGTGTGTTTGAGACGGCGAGGTTGGCACAGGATAGAATCGCTTTTAGGGCTCTTGTACACAGAGTCGAGATGAGTCGCAAGCGACTCGATGGCACATAACAACAACAACAAATACGCAGATACATGCACCAAGAGCCAAAGAGGAGGAAATAAAAGATTCCTATCAACTTTTCCAGCCAGAAATCGATCAAACATGTAATGAAGCTGCATTAATAATAATGGGTGACTGGAATGCATACCTGTACCTTTTCAACCTATACGCACTACAGATCATCTGGGAGGAAGGACTCTATGAGGAGCAATGTGGCAAGGACTGCAGGAAGGCTCATCAACATCCTGCACCATTCAGATGACACAACTCTGCTTGAGGAAGACCTGTCCTGCTTGCTGAAACCGAGGAAGACCTGTCCGGCTTCCTGCAGAAGATGCAGGACTCTACCTTTTACAATGGAATGAAGCATAACGTTGAGTAAACAAAGATTCTCACCTCGGGGCTGACTGACAGCATCACGACAGATGAGGAAAGAGATTAAGATTGTCTACACCTTTAGTTTGCTTGTCTCCACAATCAACACTCTTGGTACCAACAGCCAGAAAATAAAAAAAGATGAATTGCACTGGAAAAGTCAGCTTTCACAGACCCCTCTAGAGTCCTGGAGAGCAAAAACATCACTCTGGAGACTAAGGTGCTCCTGATCCAAGCCCTAGTCTTTGTAATTACTTGCTGTCAGAAAGCTGGACAAGGTCTATAGGTGACAAAAAGAGAATTGATCCTTCAACCAGAAGATAAAATAGATTAATGGGATCTTCGGAGAATCAAATCCCTAAGCATATCCAAAAACTTCTCCAACAGGGTGAAAAGGGAAGCCATAGATGGGAGAAAATATTTAGTAATGACATATCAGATAAGAGACTTGTATCCAGAATTTATAAAATACTTGGGCACCACAACAAGATAAAGGTAAATAAGCCAATAGAAAAATGGGCACAGGTTATGAACAGAAACTTCACCAAAGAAGACACTCAGATGGCCAAGAACCACATGAAGACATGTTCAAAATCCCTAGCTCTAAGAGAGATGCAAATTTAAAGAACTATGAGATATCATCACAACCCAGTCAGAATAGCAAAATTTAACAGAACAGCAAGCAACAAATGCTGGCGAGGTTGTGGAGAAACTGGAACCCTTATTCACTGTTGGTGGGAGTGTAAAATGGTGCAACCACTGTGGAAAGCAGTATGGCGCTTTCTCAAAAAGTTGCAAATAGAGATACCATTTGAACCAGCAATTCCACTACTGGGAATATATCCCAAAGAGACCATAACTGACATCCAAGCAGATATATGCACACCCATGTTTATCGCGGCTCTGTTCATAGTAGCAAGGAGTTGGAAACAACCCAGGTGCCCATCAATAAACAAATGGATAGACAAGCTGTGGTATACTCACACAATACTACACTGTATTGAAAAAGAAGGAACTCATGTAATATTATTCAAAATGGGTGAGCCTGGAGGACATTATGCTGAGTGAAGTATCTCAGTCACAAAAGGACAAATACTGCATGGTGGCACTGTTGTAAAACGGGACTGACATCAGGGTTGAGGGGAGACTGAGAAAGATGGGTTCAATAATGTATACTGCATTGAAACAGGTAAGAGAGAAAATTGTTTAAAAGGGATATGTGATTAAGTATTTTTGTCATGACAGGAGGCTACAGCGAAGGCTGCATAGTGGAGTGGACTGAGAGGAGGGATTATAAAACAATGAAAGAATTTTTCTTTTACTTTTCCAAAAGGGTAGTGTACTAGGGGGCAGGGTTGGGAGGGGGAAAAAGAGCAACAGTGAAGGAATAGAAACCGAAAGTCTCTGTAAATTTTTATTGAAATTAATAATAAATTTAAAAACAAATTTTTAAAAAAAAGAATTGATGCCTTTTAGCTGTGGTGCTGGAATAGAGTGTCGAACATACCATGGACTGCTAGGAGGCAGACAAATTCATCCAAGAGACAAGACTCAGAACACTGCACTAGAAGCCAAGAAGCCAAAGCAAAGGGAAGAAATAAAGGAGGTGAATAAAAGAGTTCAAAGGCAGCGCAGGAAGACAAAGTCAAGTATTATATACAGAGTCCCTGTAAAGAAAGGAATTGGAGGCACAG